CAAAATCATAATATACATTTGTTGTCATCATCCCTGACATTGTGATTTTATCATCGACATACGTCCATTGATTATTCAGTACAATTTGCGGTATGACGTAATAGTCATCTTTCGTGATTCTGACTATATTGATTTGACAAGTCGAGAGCGGAATTTTGAAAAAAATCAACTTTTGGCGATCGGCTCGGGAATACGTAACAATCACCTAGACAGTTCTGAACAAGTTGTAGAATGTGGAGATCGGAGAACAAAGCAGGCAAGCGTCTGTTTACGTTGCTATCTGTCTGTGTACTCGTATATTTATTTTGTATCTATCTATATGAGCAAATATTTGCGTTCACACATCAGTTCAACGGATTTACGTTTTTGTCACGGAGACATACGCGCAGAGACAGAGAGAGAAAAGCTGGTACAATCTGCAATGTCTGTGTGCATATTATTGTATATTCGAAGTAAGGACGTGGCATGATGAGGGCAAACAGAAAAGACACGACGGACGCTATGATTGCCTTCGCGTTTCTAGGATTTCCGCTTACGCGGCAACGGGAGAAAATGAGACGGCGGCGAGCGATATTCGCGTTTGCATTCGGGTGCAATGTGCGCCATTCGAATTTGTGTAAGCGCAAGCATTTTTACGATGCACCACTGCATACGGAATTCGCATATCAATCATGTACACACATTTATTAAATATAATACAAACGATACACAGAAACCATTCGTTTAGAACACCCACCTATGCAACATATTCATACAATGTTGCATTGTTCGGTTGAAATCGAGCTGGGATCCAGACGATTTTACACTTTAAATTTTTAAATGGAAACCTTCATCTTTTTGCAATTTTTTGATTTTGCGATACACTTGATAGATACTTGTTCAGGAAGTCGCAATTACTGGGACAAACAGTAATAAGTAGAGGTGATCTACAACAGACCAGCGAGTCGCAGCGGAGGATCACAAAAAACCTAACCTAACCGTTGAACATCGGTTATTATTATTATTAATTTATAAAGTAGTTTCAGGTGAAATTGTCGTATTTACGGTAAGAAAAAGGAGATAGCAGGCTGCAGGGTGTCTATGAATACTATTGTTGGTACGCTTGACTGACGATGAAGGTTATTTTACAAGAGCATTGTAATGGCGATTAGATCATTAATCGGTAGTAAAATCCATTTTCCAATGTAAATATTATTGTTATATGTATATCTGAAGGTGTATACGTACACAGTATAATATTATATTTGTACAGTTTTATAGTTTTATTTTTTACGACTGCCGTCATCCTGTGTTTGTGTCTGCAGGTTTGTCCGCTAAACAATACAGGGAAGGATGTCGGTTATAAAACGATAAACATTCATGTGCGGTTTTAAGATACGCGGATACGCTTTTTTTTAAAACAGTTCGCCAGGAGTGGCATTTTTAAAATTGGTTTCACTCTAAGGAACAATTAATTTTAAGAGTCATAATAAAAGCTAATAATACGAGCGACGATAATATATAAATAGTATAATTCAAGACGTAAATGATATCTGTTTTGAAAGAATAGCGAAGGAATAAGGAGAACACATTAAAAACTAATTGCAATATGAGCAGAATATAAAAGGTTTAGTTCGGAATATACTGGGCGCCATAAATTAATCAATACAAACCGCAATATTGAGCCGGATGGTTGCAAAGCATTTCATTTCCATATGGTCGCGTGTTCTTGAATGTACTCCTCCATATGTCCATACATAGGTGCGTGTGTGTGTGTATTTAACGCATGTTTTGGCGATCGAATTTAGATTGCGGACCGCTGTTGGTGCGCACATTATGATAGTTGGCGATACGTAAATATCGTAAACCTCGTTCGAACGAAGAAAAATAAATCCGCTGTTTGTGTATGTGTGTCGGTATTTCTCCTTGGAATGTTAAGTAGAGGAGATCATCATCCAGTTAACTGCCGCCGCTAATGCTGGATGCAATAACACGTTCGATTGATCGATCGAGGAAAGGAATCCTAAACTCGCTCTCGCGCACATTCAAAATTCGTATCGGGATCGGGCAGAAATTAGACGGCACGATCGAGCGAAGGTGTTTTTCGATTGGTGCCGCTGCTGCACCGCAACCGGTAATCGACATTCCTGAGCGCAATCACAATTTAAAAATAAGCCTGAGAGGAGCCAATTATTGACACAGTCATACGCTAAAAATGGCGATGTTACTCTACTTCAAATCACGTTTCGTTACTTCTTACAAGTAACTATATCAATGAACTTTTATCTACATTTGATTGATGTATAAAATAAACATGATTATATATAAACTTTTAAATCGTGCGTTTTAGATGATGCTTCTTGATTACACATGTACCCTAGGCGCCTACGTTGTATTAATAAAAAATTCAAGGGACTAGTAACTTTTTTAAAACAGATGTGTGAACGTCCTATATGTGGAGGGAAAAAGTAACAACCAACACATAGACTCGACGTGCCCTTTTCATCATCATATACAGGGTGTTTCACAACACAACACAGTGTGTTTCACAACACAACACAAGCTTGCTTCTGTGGGTTTCCTGTTTGTTTGCCATATTAAACTGTGTACGCCTTTATATTCAGTTTGCAATATTATCGTTGTTTTTGGTAAATAAACTTTACTTCCGAAAAATGTTAACCACTTATGCACTGTTACGAAGGGTTGATTTCTCAAAAAAAAAAAACATAAAAACAACATTGAGATAACCTCAACATATACCTTGCCAAAAACATCGTATAAGTGTATAGTTTATCTGAAGTCACTTGAAACACTGTGAAATACCGGGTGCGTTTTATATATCTATATTTAACACGCTCTGTTGCTGCAAAAATCGCCAAATTTCGCAGCAAATATCCCCCGTATAAGATCAAAGGCAGTTTCACCGGTCCACGTGGAGTAAAGCACGCCTATGCGTGGACATAGCCAATGAGAAAGCGTGTATTTCAGAGCTCCGAACAAGTGCAGGTGGCTACTGAAAATTGAAACAGTTTAGCCAGTGCCGTGTAGCGGTGAATAAACGTGTTTTCTTTAGTCTGTCCGTGTTTTTTCATAGATTTTATTAGTTTGTGTGTTTTTGACTTTTGAATACTCAGTTTACTTGTTGATTTAATTGTTGTGTTGATTGTTCTTGTGTGTCCTAAATATGGCTCTTTGGAGACCTTGGGAAAATGCTCCAAGCCACGAGGAGATGGTTGATGAACCTGTGCAGGCAGAATTCTTTCATAAAGATTTAGAGGAACAGACCCAAAGAGTAATCCTAAATATGTATGATTGTTTGAAAAACGAAAATCCAGATTCCTCGCAAAATCAAATTTTAAACAGAATTTGTATCCTGACAAAAATCAGTAGGTCTACCATTTATCGGGTTATAAAAAGGGGAGATGTAGTCAACCATTCCTTCCACAGAAAGCGCATAGGGCAAAAATTAAAAAGAATAGACGTGGGTTTTCAGGAAGATATTCGTCGTATAATATACGGATTTTATAAAGAAAATTTGGTGCCCACGTTGGAAATGATACGGGATAAATTAAAAGATTATCCTGAAGATTTTTATAATTACAAATGCTTAGACTCACTGCACTGTATTGTAAAACTGTGTGGTTTTCAATACAAAAAATTAGATAAAAGAATGGTGATTATGGAGTCGTCTCGAATCGTTGAATTGCGCCAAGAATTTTTGCACAAAGTTAAAATCTATAGAGAGCAGAAAAGAAATCTGATTTACCTGGATGAAACGTGGTATGATACCCATGAGGTTGTGCAGTACGGCTGGGTTGACGACAGCAACAAGTGTATTTTAAATGCACCATGCAACCGTGGAAAACGAATCATTATTCTCCATGCTGGCAGTGAAAATGGATTTATACCTAATGCCTTTCTGTTATCTGCCAAAAATATCAAAGAATCATGTGCCAAATATCATGAGGACATGACCTCCGACTTATTTGAAAAGTGGATAGAGCAGCAGTTAATACCAAACATTTCCCCAAATTCAGTGATTATTATGGACCATGCGCCATCCCATTCCCGACAGCAAAACAAAATTCCGAATACAGGCACAAAAAAACAAGACATTATTGATTTTATGAAGGATAAGGGAATGGAAATACCACAAAAATCAACCAAAGCCATATTATTGGATCTTATTAAAAGACAAAAATTTGAAAAAGAGTATGTTGTTGACAATCTGCTTCAGCAAAATGGCCATGAAGTATTACGTCTACCTCCCTATTACTGCATTTTTAACCCGATTGAGTTGGTCTGGGCTGCTTTAAAAAAAAAGTAAGAAAACATAATCAGACCCCTCAATTAAGTGAATCGCTATTGGCCACAATAAGAGATGCAGTATCTCATATTGCTGCCACAGACCTATGGAAGCAGTGTTCTAGGCATATTATTGAAAAAGAAAATGAATATTGTGTTTTGCCTCCTGTAAATCCCGTTGTAATTTCTCTACAAGATGACTCTAGCGACAGCTCC